GGGGGGGGGGGGGGGGGGGGGGGGGGGGGGGGGTGTTGCAGCGTATATTTCCATGTTCTTGTGGTAGATCGTTCTCGTTTTGTACATCAGTACTGTTGCTTTGTTTCGATTTTGTCCTTGCGTGTCAGCACTGTCAGGTGTGTTTCCATTTTTTTATTTTTACTTTTTTGTTTTTTTTTAGTCTTTTGTCGGTCTGCCGCACTTTCTTTTCACCCGCGTTTCATTTCTTATATTCTTCTATTCTTTTTTTCTTGTTGTTAAAAAAAAAAAAAAACACTCATCATTATGCATTATTGTTGGAGGGGGAGGCCGGCGACCTCACAATTCAACCCGGTGCAACAATCAGGACACGAGTTCAGGCCAGACCAACCTGGCACACAAGCAAATCAGAGAGCACATATCCTAAGCTTGATTGCTGTTTACTTGAAATGGACGGCCACTCTAGTAAGCTTTAACTGGTTTTATCGCAAACCATTCTACCTTATAGTGTTCCTCGAAGCAAATGGACCTACCGATTGACCAGGTAGGGCCTCGTTAAGCCTCCTTTGACAGTCCACCTTTACATTTCCACCTAACCACTTCTACTATATGCGCTTAACAGAACTCACAAGAGACAGGAAAACAAGTGCGACGAACGAAGCCATCTGGACAGGACCAACCTTCCGTCCAGCGAGACCACTGCAAGGCTATTCTTTTCAGCCCAAGACCTCAAAAACCACAGCTTGGCTCGGCATCTTGTTGGTTCAGCCTTAGCGAGTACTCTTCTCAACAGCATCGGCAGCCCTCATCCTTCCGCTTGACCTCCCCCAGCATTGGCAACCAGCCGCGGACTGGTTCGAGAAGCCACCCTCAAAGGTACTGGTGGAGTCCGTTGTAGGGGTCCGGGCTGGCCGGGCTGGCAGGCACACAGACATACATTGCATTTGCACCATTCTGTCATAGTACCACCCCCCCCTACTCAGAGGGGCTGGCAGGCGCACAGACATACATGCATTTGCACCATTCTGTCATAGTGCCCCCCCCTCCCCCCCCCCACCCCCCAAAACTCAGCAGCATGTAATGATCGACAGCGGCACAGCCAGAAGAAATCAATAGGGAGAACTATGGCGCTCTCCCGGTTCCATTTTGAAATGCAGTTCAGTTACGATTTCGCGAATGCTGTGTCACACAGAGGAAAATCCCGAATGTATGCAACCCCACTTTAGGGTTGGGAGGGGATGTGTTGTATTCGAGGGATGCCTGAAGTGGATTTAAAACTGAAATCGTGACTGCGCCCTAGTTACCCCGAATCAATAAACAACAAACCACAGCCATGAAAGTTTGCAGACTTCTTGTTGAGGAAAACGGGCAAACAATTGGCAACATTGGGAACACTCGATTTTATCACAAATTTTCACCCCCTTAGATTCACCAGCGGGTGCACACGCACAGCTGGTTTAAAAGTTCAGATTTTGAAACTTTCATCTTCCTTTTCTCCTTTGTGTTCGACAGCTAAAAGAACCACTGTGGCCACGGATTAGGCTGGTAACAGCTAACCAATGACCTGCCACAGCCACCAAAAAACAATAAAAGAAAATGGGTTTCCAGTATTGTCTACCGCCTGGCTCGATGACCAAGGTTATGACAAACGAACTCCCGAGCCTCACAACCAACTCGTCTGACAAAATACGCCCACCCGTAAAGGTTCTTTTTCACTGTCGCGTGCACCCAAATCACCCACCAATATCTTCAAGGGCGACACCTTTTGAGAGAGACAAAAAAAGAAAGAGGGCCAACCAGGTACATTCTGACCGGGCTGGCCTTGACATCTTCAAAGTTCAGAAACCCAAAAGCCCGGTTCATGCAATCTTTCCCACCGCAGAATGCTGAGCCCAAACTGCAGGGAGGGAGAGAAAAAGGGGGGCGGGGAAGAAGAGAGAGAAAGGAAGGAAGACAGAAAACAATTCAAAAGAACTTAAAAAAAGTTACAAAAGCCGTCAGAAGAGAGAAAGAATGAAAGAAAGAGAAAAAGAAAGAAAGAAAGAAAGGGAAAATTTCCGAGATGCCCCTGAAATTTCCATTAATTTGCCGCGTGCCCCTCTGAACTCCTACTTACCCTGTCGTGCCCTGGGGCCTCTGAAGTTTTCTGCAGGCCCCTGTCAGCATGGGGCACAACTTTCCGTTATGCCCTTACCGGACCGCGGATGGCGTTTCGTTGGTACCTCCTCAATATGCCCTCACAAGGGGCATGCATCTTTCTGTGACGCCCTTGCAGCAGGCCACCAAAAATGCTGCAGCAATCAATCTCTTCACGTTAGCTGGTTGGAGTTGCTGCCGTGCGACAATGAGCATGTGTGTGTGTGTGTGTGTGTGTGTGTGTGTGTGTGTGTGTGTGTGTGTGTGTGTGTGTGAGAGAGAGAGAGAGAGAGAGAGAGAGGGTAGGCCAGAAAGATCCTCTCCCAGGGCAAGGGAAAAGGCCGAGAGTGTCAACAACAGCCTCAGGGGCATGCTGGAAAGATGCTCGGTACCGGTAGGGGCATATGGGAAATGTCTCTGCTGGTTCTCAACGGCTATCCGGTAGGGGCATACTGGAAATTTGGGAGAGGTACCGGTAGGGGCATATGAAACATTTCAGGTCCAAACGACACCAGGGGTTTTCTGGAAACATCATTCGTTGTCAGAGGGGCGGGACAGGGTAAGTTAAACATCAGAGGGGCATGCCACAAATTAATCAAAATTTCAGGGGCATCTCGAAATTTTTCCCAAGAAAGAAGGAAAAAAAGAAAAAACAGCTACAAAACAATTACAAAGAAAAGAAGAACCACATTAGATATTGAAACAAAAATAGAGAGGCACACAAAAATTCACACCCAATGTCATCCATCGAACACCACTACATGAAGTTGTGCCTCTGCCACATTTTGCAGGGCAGTTTGGCATTTATGAGACCACATGCACCCAACCCCCTCACAAAATCACAGCATTCTGAAGTTACCATGCCTTTCCAGGGCAGAGAATTCCTTCAGCCTGCACATGCACAACTCACAACATTCCAAAGTCATAACCCACTCCTCTCTCTCTCTCTCTCTCTCTCTCACGGGCGCGAACACGGACCTTGAGATGGTATATATAAAAATACAAATCAATTGCATATGGCACACAACAATCCATTGAGTAATTCCACAATTCCAGATTTTTGCACTTTTCTAAACTGCAATCTCCAGACTTGCACTCCTAGCTGAAGAACAGGAAAGTGTTAATCAATAGCCGAATGGAACAGAGGCAGTGGTGGCCACCAATGCCAATCAACTCCCTCACCCCCCCCTTGAAGCTTTCAAAGCTCCTTAAGCTTCGAAGTTCAAACCGATTTAAGCATTTCACAGGGGATCTACTACCTATAGAATAAACACTGGAGGCTCTGCATTGCCCCTTCCTCCCACCTTTCCTCGCCCCCCGGACCCGCCCCTCCCCTCTCCCCCGAGAAAAATCCTACTTTGACCCAACTCCCTCAAGCCCAAGCCTTAAAGAAAACCCCTTCCAACTTTCCCCCAGGGCATATTACGAAAACTGTAGAAGACACTGAGGGTGCAGATTTACACTCCACTCCTCCTACCTAACCAGGCTAACCCTCGACTTTTCTCCGCAGCAATCCAAACAGACAGAGCATCAAAGCCTCCAAAATGGTTACTATCCAAGATGGAAAAGACAAAGGGAAAAAATTGGTGGTGGTTGGGGGGGGGGGGGGGGGGGGGGGGGGGTTGCGGAGAAGCATAAAAAAAGAATTTGATCCTAATTCAGGAAGTGTCTTATCTAAGTTACATAACTCTGCTTACCTCCTCCTCGACAAAACTTCAACCGTCACCTATTCTCAGCAAACAAGCACGGGGCTTGGCAGGACTTGGTCAACTACCCAAGGTTCCAAGAAGCGGGATTTGGGGGGACTTAGTCAGCTACCCAAGGTCCCAAGCAGCGGGACTTGGATGGACTTGGTGTACCCAAGGTCCCAAGAACTGAAGGAACAAGGGCAGGGCATATTGGTCGGTCATCCACAGACTGCAGAAAACAAAAGGACTTTGAAAAAACAAAGGAGAAACAAGAAAAACAAAAAAGAAGCAAAAAAAGCAGTAAACAGCTCTCTCGCATCCTCAAGTGTCAAGCTAAGCAGCGCTGAGTCGCTGACAGAATTCTTGTTGACCACTACAGCGGAAGGCCTAATGAATCAGAACAGACAAAACAGGAGAGTACCATGAGGAGGAGGCGGATGTGCGGGACGTTCTACTTTACAGGAGAGTGCCCCATCCTTCAGCATTGTCAGGGTCTCTCTCCTTCTTTCTAAAAGCTAGCACTGCCAATTGCCGATGTGTTCAGACTTGGGGCAGGGGCAAGACTAAGAAAGTGCTGACACGTAAGTATACAGTCCCTGACCAGGACCAGGTTCAGACCGTACAACGGAATGAACATCCAGAACCAATAGGAAAGTTCCAAAGGTTCGGCGAATCAAAACTGTGCAACGCCTGTTTGTCTGACTAGATGAGACAAGAAAAAAGAACAATTGCAAGCACTAATAACTGGAAAGAGAGAAGCTTCCACAATGACGATGACAACTGATCTAGGGAGAGAAATTACTGACCGGCATCCATCTCCTTCCCTCTATCGTTCAGGACATGGCCTTTCAACCACTTCCTCCCTCCCTTCTCTCCTATTCCAACGAGAAGGCCATTTCTGAAGAAGCTCAACATCCTCTAGCTAAGGATTTCAAAATAAACAGTTGTTATGCCTACTGCTTGGTTCGCAATAGATAGCAAAGCCCTCACCCGGAGGAGGGAGGCAAAAGGGAAAAGGGGGGGAGAGACGGGACCACAGTGGGGGGCAGGGGGAGGATTGTGTCTGCTGCTAGTGAGACTACAACCTCTCTCTCCCAATGGAGAACAACGTTTGCCTACTGAACAGGACCAACTCTTCCCCCCAATAAAGGAACCACCATCTTGAAAGGCACGTCGTCGCAGACGAAGCGGCGCAGAAGAATCAAAATGCCTGTCGCCGCAGAAGAGCGGAGTGAGAAGGTTTCTCCGATGTGTGCCTGAACGTTTCTGTGATGTGTACCTGGACGATACCATGCAGGTAAGAATAGTAGAAGCCCTACAAAACTTCTCTCCCCATTCATCACACTCACAAATCATCCAAAAGCCCCCCGAAGCCCCCCGAAGGCCCCCGAAGCCAACTGCAAGGGTAAGAGAATGCATCCTTCTCGCTCTTCTCAAAGGCCCATCTCTTTCTGAATCTTCTGAAACTGGTTCAACAGCGCCCATGTGATCTGCACAACACACACACACACACACACACACACACACACACACACACACACACACACAGAAGAACCAAAAAGCAGTCAGTACTGTTTAGAAGCAGCAGCAGAGAGCAGCAGCACTAGAGCACCAGCATGATTGACATAATCATTACAGCTGCCGAAAGCCAGATGCAGCAGATAAAATTGCTCAATCATTGGATGAAGTGCTTGATCGCATGAAAACAACACCAAGATGAGATGAAGGATCCGCCGCATACAACTGTGTGTTTCCCACCATCTCTTCCTCTGTCTCCAGTCATCCTCAAACTACAAATCGCAACAGAAGTAACGAAAAGATCTCTGTGGCAAGAAGCACATACTACTGTATAGCTCACACTGCACCCAATCGGCATGATACACATACTGCTGAGTAGCTCACACTTCCCCACAAGCATATCATGAAAGCACACACCCTCGGTTGAATTGAGTAACGTTGTCCTACCATGACATGAGGCGAAATCCTGATGAAGTACGTGGGGAATCCCGTGTAGAACTTCAGCGGCCCGCCGGACTTAAGCGTCTTCCAGACACAATCCAGGGAACCTGAGTATGGCATCTTCCCATCAGGCCCAGGCTGCATCTTCTGAATCTGGGTCTTCACGTAATCGAACGGCAAACTGAAGAACGATGCACAGAATCCGGACACGACACCGCTCGCTGCATTTTCGACATGCATTCCAAATCATACATACATCCCCCACAAACGTGTCAGCCATGGGAACATAGATTTTCTCCCTTTCTCTTATTCTTTGGAAAATGGTAGTACGTCCATCGCCCTCCCATCCAGTGCTCATTGGGTAGAACACGACCTACCTCGCCCAAGGAACATGGCCATGCCAATGGCAAAATTGGGTGACAGGCAAAAAAAAAAAAAAAAAAAAAAGGAAGTTCGGAATGGATACCATACATCACACCACACACATGCAACACGTTCTTCCTTTTTTCCCGCATGCAATACATATTCATACCGGTGTGCGCCGCATATTGCGCACGTGCGCCAAGCATCCTAAAAAAAAAAACAAAAAAAACGAGCATCCCGGAAAACAAGCTATGCAAAACAAACAAAAGCTAAGGTGGGAAAAAAAAAAAAAGAAAAAAAAAAATTCAAACGTCATCGATAAGTAACAGAGCTACGAAATTGCTTGCGCATAAAAAGTTTAAAAACTGACATGCATGCACTTATCCCTACTGGGCCATCTGTTAAATGTCAAACGATACAGAAATTTGGACGATAGTATGATACAGAGACGATCAGCGATACAGAGATGATCAGCCTGGCCCCTGTGCAAGGATAACACACAAATCGAGAAATGGCGAAAAAGAGAACATGCATGAACTTGGACGTGGAGAGGGACTTGAATCCCCGACCTTTCGCACAATGCCAGTTCTTAAGACTGATACCTTCTAACCACTCCCACATCCATCATGCAAAGAAAAAAAAGAAAAAAAAAAACAAAGCATCTTTTTTCTTTGGATGCATGAAACTCGTCACCAAAAAAAAAAAAAAAAAAAAAAAGCATCTCAATGTTTGGCTACAATGACATTTCAGAATCATATTTGCTGAATTGTGAAGAATTCACAGAACTTAGTTTTTTTCTTCAACTCCGTGTATAGTATACACTCTGTTTAGTATACATTTTCCGTGTAGTAGACATTCTCTGAGCTGCATGAATATTGTGTTTTTGTGAGGTCACACACTCTGATCACGAGTGTGATGACACTGCATGCATGTCACAAAGTTCAAAAACGCATGCTTTGGAGCTTTTTTTATTTGTCCTCTGCTCCAAACCGTACGTGCAATTTTCATTTCAGACAAATCTCACCAAGTAATCTCACAGAGCCGTATTCCCCACTCAAAAATAACATTTCAGACGAATCTCACCAAGCAAATCTCACAGAGCCGTATTCCCCACTCAAAAATAACATTCCGAACGTCAAGAGAGGGGCCGGG